ATTTTTAGGGGACACAATTCAACCCATAATAGTTGGTTTGCTGGCGCAGTGGTTAAAAGTGCTTGGCTGCTAACTGAAAGGTCAGGCCTTCAAACCCACGAGCTGCTCCACAGGAGAAACATGTGACAGTCTGCTCTGGCAAAGATTATAGCCTTGGAAACCCTATAGGGCAGTTCTGTTCTGTCCTGTAGGGTCACTATGAGTTGGAACTGACTGGATGGCAACAGGTTTAGGTTTAATGACTAATGATGTTGAGCGTCTTCTCACGCGCTTGTCATCTGTGTGCCTTCTTCAGTGAAATGTCGGTTCAAACCTTTTGCTCAGTTTTGTTTTTTTTTTTTATTGGGTTGTTTTCTTATTGAGTTTTGAGAGCTCTTCACATATTCTGGATGCAAGTCTTTTATCAGATACAGATCTTGCAAATATTTTCTGCCATCTGTGGCTTGCATTTTCATTCTCTTAACGGTGTCGTTTGAAGAGCACAAGTTTAAAATTGTGATAAAATTCAAGTTATCGATTTCTTTTAGGGATTCATGTTTTTGGTGCTGTGCCTAAGGAATCTTTACCTATCCTAAGATCACAAATATTTTCTGTTTTCTTCTAGAAGTTTTATAGTTTTACATTTATATGTATGATTCGTTTTAAGTTCATTTTTGTATATTGTGTGAGTTGTGGATCAAAGTTAATTTTTTTGCATATGGGTATCCAATTGTTCCAGCAACATTTTTTGATATATCTCTTCTCCATTGCTTTTGTTTAAAAAAAAAAAAAAAATCAGTTGTCCATCAGTGGAGGAATTTCTATTCCTAGTTTGCTGAGAGTTGTTTGTTTCTGATCAGGAATGGATGTTGGATTTTGTCAAATACTTTTTCTGCATGTATTGAGATCATCTCACAGTTTTTCGTTTAGTTTAATATTGTGATTTGATTGTTGAGTGTTAAGCCAACATTGTATTCCTAGGATAAACTCAACTTGGTCATGATACGTTATTCTTTTTATATATTATTGGATTTAATTTGTTAAACTTTTGTTCAGAATTTTTGCATCTATGTTCATCAGGGATATTGATCTGCGGTTTTATTTTCTTGTAATATCTTTGTCTAGTTTTGGTATTAGGATAATACAGGCCTCATAGAATGAGCTGGTAAGTATACTCGCTTCTTCAATTTTATGGAAGAATATGTGTAGAACTGGCATTCTTTCTTTCTTAAAATGTGTTTTTTTCTGGAGTTTTCTTTGTGGGAAGGTTTTAAACAACAAACACAATTTCTTTAATAGATACAGGGCTGCTCAGGCTATTTCTTCATGCGTGAGCTTTGGTAGTTTCTCTTTCAAGAAATGCGTTCATTTAACCCATGTTATCAAATTTACTGGCATAAAGTTGTCCACCATATTCTCTTGTTATCCTTTCATCTTCTGTAGAATCTGTAGTGGTGTCATCTCTCTCATTACTCATACCGGTAATTTGTCTCTCCTTTCTTGTCTTGATCAATCTATCTAGATTTATGATTTTATTGGTTTTTCTTAAACAACTAGCTTTTCGTTTTATTGGTATGTTCTATTGTTTTTCTGTTTTATTGATTTCTGTTCTAATCTTTATCATACCCCTTTGTTTTGCTTACTTTGGGATTGAATGGTTCCTATTGCTGTATTTTCAAGTTCACTCAACGTTTCTTCTGCAATGTCTGCCATTAATCCCATCCAGTGTCGTTCTCATCTCAGATATTGTAGTTTTCATCTCTAATCATTTGATTTGGACCTTTTTTTTTTATAGCTTCCATTTCTTTACTTAACTTTTTGAACGTACGGAATATGTTATATATAAAAACTATTATAATGTCTTTGTTAATTCTAACATGTCAGTTCTGGATCAGTTTCCATTGATTGCTTTTTCTTTTTATTATAGGTTTCTATTTTCCTGCTGCTTTGGATGTCTGGTCATCTTTGATTGAAGTTAGACATTCTGAATTTTACCTTGTTGGGTGTTGGATATTTTTGTTCCTATACATTTTCTGAAGTTGTTTCTTTTTCTGGGATGCAGTAAAGTTACTTGGAAAGTTTGATCCTTTCAGGTCTTATTTTTACAATTCGTTAGGTGTGACCAGGATAGCATTTAGTCCAGGGCTAATTATTCCCCATTACTGAGGGAAGATCTTCATGACTACTCTACCTAATGTCTTGCGAATTAAGGGTTTTTTCAATCTGGTTCAGGGAAACAGGTACCATTCCCAGCCCTGTGTGAGCAGCAGTCCTGTTCCCTGAATCCTTTAGGATGGCTCTTCCCCAGCCTTGGGGAAACGCACTGATCAGCACTCTGCTGAACACTTGGAGGACAACCCTCTCCAGATCCCGGGGTCCTCTCTCTGCAGCTCTCTCCTTTCTGGTACCTGTTCTGCATACCCTCGCTGCCTCGGTCTCCCTGGACTCTCAGCTACAGAGAATAGCTCCAGGCCTGGCTGGGCCGACCCACACACAGATGTGGATAGGCAGGCCAGCTGTGCAACTGCAAACATAAACAGGGCATTTCTGCACAGATGCTGCGGTTTTGGAAAGAGCACACATCTTTCAGGGCATGCACGAACTCTGAGAGGCCTCCCCGAAGGATGGTGACTGTGATGACTTCACTCCTGTTGCCTCGTTGCTGGAGTCCAGTGGAAGCCACAGCAGACATGCTGCCCACACGAACACCTGGCATCCAGGCGACCAGGGGACTTGCAGCCTCAGTTCCAGCTGGGCCCAGATGTTAAATCCTCCCACAGTTGTGAAGTTGGCAGTGATGCAGAGAAGACGCCGTGCGGCTGAGGATGGTCCGTGCATTCACTCGACACTCGTGCCTTGTGCACCTACTGTGGGCAGTGCTAGGGGCGGGGGCCACAGAGATGAGCAGACACAGCCCCGGCCCCAACCCCAGGGAGCTCAGTCTATGAGGGAGATAACCTCAGCCAATTAGTTGCACAAGTGAGTGTTTAACGATAAGTGGCAGACATGTGAAGGAGGAAAAGTCAGTTCTCAAGGGCTCTTAACAGAGTGACCTAATGCAAACTTGGGTCAGGAAGTGACACGCTGCCAAGACTTGTACAATGAGGAGGGGTTGGCCAGGCAAAGGGGCCCGGCAGGCATCAGTCCCTGTGGAGGAGGCACGATGGACATGGTGACCTGAGCCTGTCCTCAAGGGGCCTGTCTCACCTGGAAGAGGGAGTCCCAAGCACATGTTTTAGCCAAGGGATTCTGGAAAGTTGGCTCCACAGTGCACAATTTTTCTATTTTTTCCCTTGGCCCCTGAAGTGGACCTGGTGTAGGAGTTTCTGTTAGTACTCCTCCATGGAGAAATGGATGGGGGACCACTGCGGAAGGGTAGGGCAAAGAGGCGTCCTTGGGTGGGCACATGGAGGTGCAAGGCAAGGGCTGTGGGGTTAGGCCCTGGAGCTGACAATTGCTTGGCCAAGCTCCTTCCCTGCTTGGGCCTCGGTTTCCCCAGGGGTTTGCTCCTACCTCCTAGGGCAGGGTCTGTCACCCCTCCTGGCCCAGAGAGGACCCCAACACAGGCCCTGCTGCTCCCAGCCCTTCTGGGGTCTTCCTCCTGGCAACAAGGCCACAGCCTCCTGCAGGAGCCATGGGCTCTTCCCACTCTGCGCTCTAAGGAACACATGTCCTCATCTGTGTTCTGGGCAGTTGCCTCCTGGGAGTGATTTCCCAGGAGAGGGTTCGTGGGTTCAAAGGGTATGTACCTCCAACATCTGGATAAACATCGCCAAAGGCTACTCTGCCTCCCCCCGACCCGCCCCTCACTGAGACTGGGTTTCTCTTTTTCTGCGTTGCCATTCTGATTCTGAAAAATGAGGTTCCCGTGTGGTGACCTGCTGCTCTGGTGGGCTGCGCTTCTCTTCCCTCCCTTACCAGCAGGCACCTGGGCAATGTGGGCAGACCCTCCCGCTGGGAGGGGTTTGATGGATGTGGGTGCCAGCACGTCACCAGCTGTGGAAAGAAGGGGTGCACAACAGCTTGGAGGATCAGGGTGGGCAGGGGTCGGCTAAGGATGCTGCCAGTCCTGACTGTGGTGAAGCCGCTGCTCTGAGGTCGGGGTCCCCTGTGAGGAGTGGGGTCTCGGCAGCAACTGCGGACAGGTCCACGATGTCACATGCTGCCCTTGGCTGTGGCGCCTGGCCGCAGGCATCTGTCGCGCACCATGGGGAGGTGGGGTGATGGTGGCAGTGGGGGGGTAGGGTGGTGGTGG